GATGATGGCATTTTGACGAGATGTTGAGATTCTCATCTGACCAGAAGAGAATCAATTGGCAGACGAACGTCAATTTGCTGAGCAGAGAGCCGAGTGTGTGTGTGTGTGCTCAATCAATACTGGACGAGACGGAAAATTGAGATGAGCATGAGGAAAAAGAGGTGACAGCGGTGCGGAGGAAGGGGAAGAAAAGACCGTGAGATTTGTGTGATTACATCGTGATGTGATTGAATAATCAAATGGACTCGGAAATACAGTGAGGCGCGCGAGTCTGGAGAGAGTGGAGAAGAAGTCTGCTACGGCACTACAAACGCGTCTGTCTATATGAAATAAAAAAAAAGATGCTAAAGAGCTCGTAAAGAGCATAGAAAAATGATGACTGAATTGGAGAGGATGTGGTGGTGAACTCTGTGCGACCTTGGGCAGATTATAAAATCGCGACAGTAGGAATGAATGTGATTACAGCAGCCAAATGGATCTCCCACTCACGACTTCTCACACTGTCACTCGCGCTGTGTCGCGGATGTCTTATCAGCATGATTACATACGCAGGCAATCATGCACCACCTTGAATTGCTGATATCAGTGGAGCGGTTCTTTTTTATGTGTTGGGGAAAAAGTCTTGACAGCTTTAAGCTCAACTTCACGTCTGTGTTGGGGAAGAAACACAATCACTTTCCACCTAAATATACTTTTATTGGACGTTTTCTTAGTAATTCAATCTTAGTCATGCTTATTTTTCTAACTTACAAATTCTCTGATGCATATTTTGAATCCTTGCTGCTTCAGACGATAGTTATCCTGACAAATGTCTGGCTTTACACATGCAATTTGAAGTTCCATTTGAAGTATCGGATTGAATGAATAGGCTTATGTTTCGCAATTTCAGCACACCTTCTTCTAATCATGTCAAGCTCAAGTTCCGAGAAGGCAATTGCATAAATAGTGAGTTATCTGGGCCTTTGTTGATTCAATTGGCAATATTGTGGTGTCTTTCGAAAGATTTTGCCTTGTGTGCGCACGAAAGGGAGAGAGAAAGAGAAAGAGAAAGAGAGAGATTACCTGCGCGTCTCAAAATGTAAACAATCGTCTGCAATTGAATACTGGGCGAGTAGAGGCACTTCTGGGTATTTGGGTTTTGCAATGGACTGGCCGAGAGGTGTGTAACACGTTGGGAGATTCTGCGTGTGCGAAAATGAGGCGGCCAGAAAAGGGGACGTGGGAAATGTTATGGCATGTACATTGAGAGGTGACCGTCAAAAGAGCACGCCAATGAAAGTGTGAGATGGACTTTCCTAGACACAGATTTGCAGAGGAATTGTCGATGGTGTGAAGAGTGAAGGACTGAGATGGAAATTATGCGGTTGCACACTTTGACCTTGCGTAATTTGCAACATGTGAGACGCGCGCGCGAGATGGAGAGAAAGGAAGTGTGATTGAGAGTCACAGTTGGTGGAGGAAGTTGTGCAAAAGCGCAACGAGATAAAATGCCTAGCATTGCTGCTGTGCTTCTCCAGCAGCAGCAGCAAACCAATTCACCTACTTGCGCGACACGCGGCCTGAGTGTGGCTAAGAAAACTGTAAATGGTAAATGGTACCACGTCCTTGATTGAGAAATTGCTCCATGAGATTGCCAGACACTTTACATATATACAGAGCTATGCGATGGTGGTGTAAAATACAGTGAATTGCGGATTGCAATGCTATGAGATCTTGTCTGAGACTGAAGTGGGGAGAGAAACAGGTCGAATTTTTGTGCTGAGATTCTTTTTTTTTTTCCTCAGCTATTTCACCTCTTAGGTGTTTTATTTCACCTACCGTTATATCACACAAATTGAGTTTTCTGTGCCTCTCACTCTCTCTCTCTCTTTGTCGCTTTGAATGTGGAAAGAAAAGAGTAAGATTTTATTTTCATTTTGCTTTTCTCAGTGTGAAGAAAAAAAAATGGAAAACATTTGGAGACATGTGAAGAAATGCATGTCTGCTATGGCTGGCATTTGAAGAAGCGCAACAATGTGTTGAAGATTTTACAGAAATCAATCGGGAAAGCAATAAAATCCAAGGTTCTTCCCCAAAACCCACTCATACTGGCTTGATATTGTGGGCAATTATTCAGTGAAACATTGCAATTGGACTCCATTAATAATAATATATTATTGTAGAGTGAAAATGTGTAACAGTGAGAATGCATAAAAATACTAGAGTAAAAATGATTAACCTTGATTTCTGTGCAAATTCCTGAGAAACTTGAAGCTCGAACAGTGTGAGATGATGATGATTTTCATAGGTGTGGAGAAACGTGTCGAATTTGTGGTGGATGGAATTTTCGTCCAGTGATTTGAACACACACGACAAAATGTTCTTATGGAATCACAGATTTACGAGTTTGACGGGCAATAATTTATCGGCCACGACACAGGCAGCGGAATGTTGTCATAAAAGTACAGTATGTTGATTTGTTCTGAGTAGAAAGATTTCATATTGTGATTTGTGGCGTAGTAAGACGATAAGGAGCGAATCTTTGGTCGGGAAAACGATTGTGTCCTCGTGGAAGAGGCAACCTTGCGGTTGGAGTATGACTGAAATGTTTTATTTATTATTAAATAAGGAGTGTGCAATAAATTTTCTAAACACCTATTAACCAATTTAGTTTGAAATCCATTGAAGAAAAGGCACTAAAAGTCCACAATTTGTCATTCATTGTGCGAATGCAGAGTTGTTTAATGGTGCAAATAACATGTGATGCACGTGGATGCAATAAACTCAACAATAACGAGAGAGAGAGAGAGAGTATGGATATAGAGGAGGAAGAAAATAATAAATTTTCCCTCAAGTCAAGAATGCACATGCTGCTGATGGAGCAAAATATTGTGAAATTGTTGTGCTAAGAAGAATGAAAGCTATATATCATGCATGCTGGGGTGCTAAATTTAATTCAATGAAGGAGTCAATTGGCGCCAAATGAAATTCTTCGCTCTCGCGTGGAATTTATTGAAAAGTCTCTCTTGAAGATTATTTTAATAGGGCCAGTGTTTCAAATAAGGATGAAGCATTTTATGCTGCTGTTGGTAATTTATTTGCGGTGAGATAAACAAATCTGCGCTGTAAAGTATTGCGATGAGTAAGGTTAAGGAAGAACGTGTAAGAAGAAACGGCGAGAGATAAAGAAGAAAAAAACGCCCAAAAATAATTGTGACTAAATGGTGAGGTATTTGCAGAAAAGTGTGTGGTATGCGATCATGCTGAGAATTCGCTGATTTGCCTCTTTGTGCATGAAAATGGTTTTCTTGAGACACACACTTCCCACTGACGACACAGGAAAATGTCTTTAGGTTTCTTCTTTGCCAATGCATTCTTCAATAATGAAATCAAAGTGTTCTTGAGTGTCATATTAATTGCTGATGAGTTGATTTGTGGTCTGCTTTGTGAAACTTACTGATGTTGTACAGAAATAGAGGAGAATTTTAAGAAAATAATGCTAGACGTTGTGTGAATCGATAGTTGTCAAACTATTTCCCGAAGTTCTTTGTGTCCTCAGCGTCTCTGTAATTTGGGAGACAATGCGGGCAGACAGAGGATATATTAGGCTATAATGATTTGGCACTTTATCAACAGTTTGAATCTGTTGGAATCAATTGTTTGATTTGCATGTTTTCAAGTCAACAAAAAGTGTCTCAAAGAAGCAATTTTCTCTGCGTGTGAAGAGGTGCAAAGCAGAAAAAAAGAAAGAAAGATAGATAATTAAAGTGGATAAATGCAATATTTAGAGAAACAGTGTCGTAAAGTTGTGATAAATTCAAAATAACTATTCACTCTCTTTGTCTTTTATGATTTAAATTAAAAAATTTTACTCTCCTTGTGATGGTTTTTTTTGCATCATTTGTAACGCGGTAAAACGTGAAAGGGAGACACGAGTGTGGGATTGATAGAATAGTTGCACATACAATGTGATGATGAGGAGGAGAAAGAGAAATAAACCAAAAGCTATAGCTAAAATAAATAAATGAAAAATGAGAACAATTTCTCAGAAAACCTTGTCCTACTTTTTTTTATAACAATTTTACCTCTCTCACACTACAAAATAGTTTCATTGAGCAGTGGTGTGTGTGTTGGTTCTTTTACATAAGCCAAATGTGTGCTCTAATGGCTTTTATTTCTTCTCTTTGCCGAAAGCCCGACAAAACTTCACTTTATTTTTGCCATATGCACAACAAGAGTGTGATTATTTTACATGGAGGCACACACTTGGGTGAAAACTGTTACACATAAGACATTACACAAGCCATTAGAAGGTGTATATCGTTGGGTTTTTTTTTCTTCTATTGTATTAAGTGCAGTTTGTTAATGGAGAGTGTGAATAAAATTTGCATTATACAACCATGTGTCTGATGTCTAGACAACGCACACTCTCGCCGCAAAGTCAAAAGCTGAGAGAGTGGAAACAAGAGGAATTGGTGAGACCAAATGGGTAAATGGGTGGGAGAGAGCAGACACTGCAATAGAAGCAATAAGAGTGAGATTGAATTTGAAGAAGTGCGGAGAATCAAATTCAGTCTGATATTTGTAACAAAGGATTTTGTGGATTTTCTCATCCTTTCTCGGGTGTGTAATATAATTATATCTCAATTGGGTAATGAAGAAGAGCGAGAGTGAATGTATTTGTGCAGAATTCAGGATAAAAATACGCTCTACGTCGTCTTGTCTAATGTTATTTCACATCGTTGGGAGATGAGTGCTATTTCCCAACGTCGTAAAGAGTGTGAATTTCCTCTCCAAAATAGTGCATTGAACCTGAAGGAAGTCTGGGCAATGATCTCGCGCGAAGGGGAAGATGATCGTCTATTTTACAGTCTATTTATAATCACAATAATGTCACTCCGTCAGCCAATTGCATCCTCTAATGGCCATATAGACAGTCTTGGCGCAATGTCACTATAGTTTAATTTTTATTGCTGGGAGACTTGTAAATTAAAAGCTTCTTTTTTTTCTCCTGATTTCAGGTCGATTTGGAGCCGGCTGTTAACATTGACATAAAGGCAGAGGCAGAGTGAGTGTCTGAGACTGTGTTTTACCGTCCATTTGGGACTTTCATTCACCCTGACATTTTCATCCAAGCGATTTTCATCGAGAGAAATCACATTGAAAATTGCTTCAGCATGAGATCAGGGAGATTAGCAATTGCTTTAATTGGTCTTTCCATAACACCAGATGAGTGTCATATGTTGATGCATCTGTTGAACGGGAAGAAACATTGACAAACTTTTCGTGTTATAATTGGGAATTTGTGATACTATGAGCAGCTTTCTTTGCAGACTGAGTGGATCTGAAATTCTGCAATTGTCAGAGGAAATGGTCAATCCGAAGCGCATAAAGCTGGGACCGCAGGATTTTGAGTTGAAGAAGGTCTTGGGCAAAGGCGGATATGGCAAAGTGTTTCAGGTAAGATTTTCCCTAATCTTTTCAACATAGTTTTTGCTTAGAAAATTCCACGAATGAGATGATGTTTGGGCGTCAGTTTTGAATGCTGCAAATGGATTTTGTCAATATTTGCCATTGTACTTTGCATCTGGATTAACTTGAGAGGTTTTCTTGGCTTCGCCCGTGCGATGTGTGATCTTGCAATCGTGTTTCTGGAAAATTACTCACGTATTATTAGATATCGCATGATGTGGATTTTCATTTTTGGAAAATTTGGAAGTACTTATTAAAATTTATCCTGAAATTCCGTCAGTTTTTTTTTTAAGAAATAAGTGTGTATTAAGAAAACAAATTTATGACACTTCAAAATCCGGTTATTTTTGGGGATTACTAAGAAATATCGTATCACTCGTGGTATTTTATTAAATACTCAATGTCAGAGGTCAACGTTTGTCATTGAGCTTGATCGTGTGAGACTGATGAATGAGCCCTAGACTATCCTAGCAGTTTTCCTACAAAATTCATGAGTTTTTCTTGGAAATCTGCTTCCCATAAACTAGGCAGAGGAAAATGAAATGGCATGAAATAGTCGCATGATTAATTAGTGCGATAAATTTGTGTTCATTCCGACAAAATATACTTTTGGATGGTGTTTTATTAGTTGAGTGTGACATTTAATGTGATTTTTATTTCAATTTTCGTCCGTAGGTGAAAAAAGTGAGTGGACCAAATGCAGATCGCTATTTCGCTATGAAAGTCCTCAAGAAAGCCACAATTGTGCGAAATCAGAAAGACACTGCCCACACAAGAGCTGAGAGAAATATATTAGAGGCTGTCAAGGTTAGTTTACATACAGAATATTTGGCTTTTTCTGTGTTGTAGATTATAAAGAGGAAAATCACAGAACATGATCTCGGATGTGCTGATGATGATGTTGAAGGGGAAGAGAACAGGAGTGATGAAGGCACACTTAAGAAGTATAATGTAAATATTTGGAAATTAAGAAATTCTACATTGTGATAAGATAGCGAGAGAGTGTGTGGTGTGAAGTGAAGTTGCTGTTCATTATCAGCAATTAATCAGTTTTGCCCTTTTTTTTAAATGACTCTCCAATCTTTCGCAACTTGTACACTATCAATGCTCGTGATAGTGCAATTCTGTCAGCTGGCAAGAGATGAAATATTAGCAATTTCACTGTCAATTGCCTACAGAATTGTTGCTTGCCACACAGTTTTGTGGCCTTTAATGTCTCAAATGTAAATAAATTGAGAAGATGATGTAAGAATTTGGAAGAGAAGATCAGAATTTTGGACAGAAATTGTTTTTAGCTTAATATATATCCTGTGATATTCCTCTTTATCAACTGGAAATAAGTGCTTTTTGTGAGTCGCGTGTGTGACAATTTGCAAATTCATTGTCAGATAAATGTCTAATAATAGAATCCTGTTGATAGATAAGGGAAAACTTTACCGAACTAACAGTTCATGTTGATTGATGAATTCTTTTTTTCTTCTTGTCTCATTCCAGCATCCATTCATAGTTGATTTAGTTTATGCTTTTCAAACATGCGGTAAATTATACTTAATATTAGAATATTTAAGTGGTGGAGAATTGTTCATGCATTTAGAGAGGGAGGGAATCTTTCTGGAAGACACAACATGGTAAGTGCAGTGATTTACTGCCTCTGGAGGCGAGAGAGAGAGAGAGAGCAAAGAGAGTCTATTAATGCCTCATTGTCAATTGCTTTCCAGTTTCTACTTGTGCGAGATAATTTTGGCACTTGAGCATCTTCACTCGCTGGGTATTATTTATCGGGACTTGAAGCCCGAGAACATCCTGCTGGATCAGGCGGGTCACATCAAATTGACGGACTTTGGTCTGTGCAAGGAACACATTCAGGATGGCATCGTGACGCACACATTCTGCGGCACAATTGAATACATGTGAGTATTAAGAGGAAATCCTATTTGCTTCCAAATGCGGACACGATTTTCATTCACCTTCATTCGTCATGTCAGTGACTTCGGACTGTGTGCTATTATTATGATTATTTCGTGAGCAAAACAAAGGGTGATAAAATTGAGTCATAAAACACTTTTGGCTTGTTTGAGAAGCAATAGACACTTGATATTGCACTCTGCAGCGATTGCAAGTGTGCGCGCGCGTGCAGGAAAGGACGACAAATTGAGAAGAGTGGTTTGATCTCAGTTATATTTCATTGTTGATACTGTTTTCATGTCTTCACACCTCAATTCACTTGATATCTTGTTGGTTTTACTCAATGAAGATGGATTTTAGAGCGATGAAGATGATGATCGTGTACACGATAGATCTCGTTAGGAGGATTATCTTAGAGCTTTTTAGAGTGTTGGCGAAGAAGAGAGAGAGAGAAAAAGATCGCAAAACTGTTAGATTTCCACAGTTATAATTCCATTTCACCTTTGATAAGGTAATAAAATCGCTTAATTGTTTTCTCTTGCGCGCTTCTTCCAGGGCACCTGAAATTCTGACACGAAGTGGACATGGAAAGGCCGTGGATTGGTGGTCATTGGGGGCTCTAATGTACGACATGTTGACTGGATTGGTAAGAATTGATCGCGAGAGAGTTTTTCCTGAGATGTGCGACTCTTAATGACTAAAAATGTGCGTCTTTTGCAGCCACCATTCACAGCGGAGAATCGCAAAAAGACTATCGAGACAATTCTCAAGGGGAAACTCAATCTGCCCGGCTACCTCACATCAGAAGCTAGAGATTTAATTCGTAGACTTATGAAACGACAAGTGCCACAGCGACTGGGCGCTGGGATATCAGATGGTGCTGCTGTGAGGGCGCATCCCTTCTTCAAGCACGTCCAGTGGGCGGATGTCATCCATCGCAGACTGGAGCCGCCAATTAAACCCGTCTTGGTATGTCGCAGAGCATAATGCTATTGCCGAGTTTTGTCCAATTTTGTTTGAATTCTTAGTCTATGGTCAATAAGTTAGAGGTGAAATTTCATAAAGCAATGATAAAAGCTCTGAATAATCATCCTTTGAAGCGAACAATTCAACTCCCAATTCTTCTAATTCCGTCCTTGTTTCTTTCATGCTCTCGCCAACTGCATCGCAATGCGTCGACTGAGCAGAACAGCGACGATGATGTGTCCCAGTTTGACACCAAATTCACCAGACAGATACCGATAGATTCACCAGACGATGCCACACTCAGCGAAAGTGTTAATTTAATTTTCCAAGTGAGTGGTATGACGGATATTCTGTGTGCCTCTTTGGTGCACCAAGAAAAACTCTCAAAAGAGAGAGAGAGAAGAGGAAGAGGAGAAAGAATTACCTGACTTGAATATCAATGCAGGGTGAAGAAGAGAGAGCTTCTTTTCAATTAAATATTGTTGCTAATTGTGTTGATTTACGGTAAATGTGAGAAAAGAGATGGGCAAGACAATATGAGGAGAGAAGCTTCTTTTCTCCCCCCGAGCAGCACTTTTGTTGGGCATGAAGTGAAATGGAAAATCTCTCGGCAGGGTTTTACGTATGTGGCGCCGTCAGTGCTGGAGGAAATGGCCCGGCCACGAATATCACAGTCCCGTTCACCGCGAAGAGCCCGCTATGCACGCAATATTCGCCATGAGGAAGTCATGCGAGTGCCCTTTGTGCAACGAAATAACACAACACACATGAATAATTCCAAAGACTCCAATCACCATCCCGACGGACAGGGTCCATTTCCGCCGCGACCATCGCCACAAGATGAGGTAATGGACGATCCGGGACATCCATTCGTATAGTAAGTTGAATTTTCCTCATGAAAATCTCTTCGATGCATCCCAGAAGAATTGCCGAATCTGTGAAATTGTCTCTGTTTTCTCATATAGAAATCTTGGCTTTCTGTTTTTTGTCTCTTCCCTCTGTAATTTCTCTCTCTCACACATAAACACACACAAGTGCTTATCATTTGCGCTCTGTAATGTTCTTGTTGTGTTGCTCCTTGAGGATCATCTTGTGAGATTCTCTCTCCAAAGCTTGATACACTCTCTTGGAAGTTCACGCTATCATTGCTTGCAATCTTCTCGCTTACTCGTATATTTTTTGGCCGGTGCATTTCTACTGACCAGTCATTGTTAACCACTTAGGGTTTTCCTTATTGAAAGCGGGCTTAACAGAATTTAATATTTAAGAAAGGGTTGCCGATTATATGGAGTATTTTGCTGATAAATCAATTGTAAACACAGAGAAAAGCTGGCAATGAAAAGTTAAGCGTTGAATTTTGAACGTGAGAAACTGAGAAACTTCGCAACTGAAGTATAATTTGAAGGTTAAATGAAATGTGCAAATATTTTCTCTGTGAACGATTGATTTAAATTGAAATGGGTTCATCAAAACATTTATTTTATGGTAGTGATAAAACTGAATTTCCTTGTACATACATATCTAAATGCTCTACAGTGGATAGATTTAGGGATTTATTGACTTAAAAAGCAGTGTTATAAATTAAGATATTCTTTTATCAATTAATTGTGTCAAATAACTATAGTGTCGATATAAAGTGGGTTTCACTTTGAAACACGTGTTTGAATAAATTTTGGAGTTTAGAGAGAAAATAGGAAAGTTTATCACAAGAGACGTTTGGACAGTGATTTCTTGATGTTCACTAATCTATCATTAATGAGAAGCAATTGGCCACTGAATTTCCAAGACGAGTGTGATTAATAAATCAAAAATCATAGTTTTCTTTTTTATTTAACCTCTGTGTGCATCCTAACCGAATTCTAATTGTTTGTTTTGTGTCTTTTATCTTTCTGTGGAGATATTTAAAAGAAATAATGTCCGCAATGGAAAAATGTATCGAAATGTGGTGAAATTCATACGAAACTATATCGAATGGGTGAATAATGGCTGAAATTGTTGTGAAACGAAACCACGTTCCTCTTTCTTTTTATAGGTAATTGTTGTTAGAGCGAATGGTCCGCCGACAAATGGATTTTTCACTAAATAATATTCATTGAAGTTTCATCGAGAGGCGATTAATGTGTTTTCGCACGTCGTCAAAATTCGCTTGGTCTTGATTTTTTGTTGTTGTTTGTGTTGTGCAAAAAAAAACGAAGAATCGAAGAACATGACTGATAGGAAACAAATTTATTGTGCTTCTCAATATAACATAACAAAAGCTTGTGATTTTGCCTCATTATTGCTGTGTATGTCACTGAACATGTTTTGGAGACCAAAAGAGTTGTGTTTAAGAAAAGGAGAACGTAATTATTCTTAGGGACAATTAAAAGATGTTTTAGATAAATTTTTACAAGTAATTTGCTGTTAGGTTTTTATTGTGTGTTAGAGAAAGGAGAAAAAGAAGTGAAGCGAATAATTAGGGAGGAAAGTAATTGAATGCCACAAAATGTTTTGAATGCATTTCTATTGGAACAAGTTTTTTCGCTGTGCGAGAATTGAAGGCAACGACAGGGATAGAATTTTTTTTTTTTGCTTAAATAATAAACGTTTTAGATAGAGAAATATATTTGTATGATAATTGTTTTTTTTTTAGTGAATTTCAATTGCAAATGGCTGTTATTACTCAGATAGAAAATGTTAGGATAGGAGACGAAGAACTGGAAAGCTTTAATATCATTTTCATTTTAGTAGAAGAATATTATTACAAATTGTAGTTTGTTCTCGATACATATATTTTTTTAATTGATTGAATATTCTTTCTAGTCTCTCTTTTTTAAATAATAGGTTCTTGCAAATATTTTTTCAAATTGCTACTGATAAGCCTGAAAGTAGACTAATTTGCTGCATGAGATGAAATTCAAGAGGCTTTTCTCTCAGTAATACTTCATTGCCTGGCTATTATTCAATGTTTTTTTATTCTCTCTAAGTTACCTTATTGCCTCGAATAATGTCTTTGCTTAAGCAGAACCTTAAGATTTGGAACTGCCTTAAGAGCGTTGTTTTTGTTACTGTGAGAGAGAGAGAGAGAGAGAGAGAGATCGACATAATAGCTTTAAAAACATGTATGAATGCTCATTACTTGATTGCTTCTTTCATTTTATTGGATGTTTCTGTTGGCTTGGAGAAACATTTGAGTGCATTGAGAATCAAAGCATTGTTTTTGTATTGTATTTTTAACCATGGATTTTTTTGATGCGATAATCAAGAAGAATGTGTCTATTTGTCATCAGTATTACTTTATAATGATATTTTCTCTTCTTGCAGACCTAAAATGGAGAGCATAAAAGTAAATTTAGTAAAATTAGACAATTTATATTGAAGAAAAAAAAGGAAGAAGAAGAAGGAAAGAAAAGTGAAATATATTTACCAGAAGGAAAATAATAAGTTAATTGAAATAGAACTGAAAGAAAAGTAATTTATAACACAAGACAGAAAGAATATCCCATATTTTTATTTAGTCACTTTCATTGTCATGAAGAAACGAAAGAAGGGTAGCTAAAGAGAACTTATAGTGAGAAAAACTGTAGAATACACAAGAAATACCTCTTCTTTGGCTTTTTTTTCGTAATGGTAAATAACCTTAAATAGTTTAATGTCATTGGGTTTCCCTTTCCTCACAACACTGAGAAGAAGTTTCTTTCTCGATTTTTTTGAAGCGCGGAAGGAAGGAAAAAATGATTATGTGAGCAGAGAAAAGTGTGAAAACTCTACATTAATTGATAGAAAATGATTTTTTTTTAATTATACTCCTTTTTATATTAATTTAGAGAGAGAGAAGAAAATATTTAGAAACTAAAGTGTGAAATTGAATAAGCTATGAAGAAAAAAGAAGAAGAAATTTGAAGAAGAAGAAAGCAAAATGATGCAAAGCTTCTGTATAAAAAAATTATTTGTAAGAATTATTACTAAAACAAAATTAAGGAAAAGATTTATTATTAAATGAAAGATTAACACTGCGAGGGAGCGAAATTTTCTTTAATAAGTCATTTAACACTTTAGGCAGCAGAAAACACACAAAACACACATAAAAAAGAGCGAGAAAAACTGGAAAGAGAATGATTGTGAGAATTAATGCATTTTCGACTGACTTAAAATGGTGGAAAAGGAAAGTCTTCTGTTGTCCAGACATTACTTTAAATCCGCAACTTTTAAGACTTATCGATAGAAGTTTTATCCAAGCTTAGATGAAATGGAATGCTTGTTACCACTTGTTTATCTCAATTTTTTTTTTTTAATTAAATATAATAGATCAGCCCGGTTTCTTTGCCGTCAACACAGAAACTTAGTCGAATGAATTAATTTATTGCAGTTGTTTAGTTGTAATTTCCAGCCCTTGTACAGAGAAAAAAAACCGTGTAGATAGTGATTTTTGAAGTGAATTAAATTAATGGCCGATTAGACGAAAAGAGGGAATTAAATAGTGAAGAATGGAGATAAGCGATATATATTTAATGAATCCAAAGTTCAACAGATTTTCCTTTAAGGTTTCCAAATGGGGAAAATTCACCCTAGACTTTGACCTCAAATCTTGATATCCGAGATGCAAACCGAATCATGAGATCTTGAAATCCTGATTTATTGTTTTCGATGTCGGAATTGAAGAGTCAAATGCTTAATACAATGCAGAATTTGTATTGTTCTCTCGTGAGAGATGAATAGCAAATCGAAATGAATTCCTTATTTATTACTGCGCGATGATCAACTGGTGATTTTTAGGCAAATAGTGGAGAAAATAACTTGATGGAACCGTCTGAATTAGAAGATGACACCCTAAAAACTGCCACGAGTGTTCAAAAATGACTAATTTTTAATGATCTTTTGTAGATGAAGAGACATTGTGTAACTAAACAAACCGACAAATTGGATGAATTGTGAAAATCAAATTGGCATAAATGGAAGGTGATCTTAATTATAGGGAGGATTAAAGAACATTTTTACTTACGGATAAATAGAAACCAAACATATTAAGTGCGAAGGAGGGAGAAATCATTAATTGTAGACGAGAGAATGCGAGAGAGAAGAATTGGCTTGGCAGTGGAGCTCTCCTAAAAATATGTAACTTGTATTAAATGACCATTTCTTATCTTCTTTGTTAAGTGGAGGAGAAGAGCTACTTTGTACGTTGCTGGGCATAACAAAGCGTAGCGTTCACACTTAAGGGCTTGAAGAGAAACGAGTGAAGATCAGCAGAAGAGAGGAATTATAATGAGAAAATTAATAAATTTTGAAGAAAGCCTCACGAGATGTGTTTAGAAGCTCTGGAACTCCAGTCCCTGGCGGATGGACATGCAGTCCACTTCGTCCACCTTCAGCGAGTTCATCTTCACGTTGATCTCCTGCTCTTGCTGCATCTGCGTGTTCAGGAGGTATCTCTGCGTCGTCTTCGTGTCCGCGATCATCTGTGTCAGTTGCTTGCAACTCAGCGTGAGGTTGGCCAATTCCCGGAGCAGTGTTTCCTGCGGAATGTCCAGACACAGCTCGGACGCCGGACGCCGTGCGCGTTCACTAAGTCTCGTCGTGCACGCGGCCAAGAAGCCCTCTTTAGTCGCCAATTCGTGCTCCAGCTTGCCGAGGTTCCGCTCGATCTCGTTCACCTGGCGCGATGTCTCTCTATGGATGTCCTCCAGGCGATCTTTGGTGGCTCTGACTTCCGCGATGCGCTTCTTGAAGGCCACATTCGTGGCTTCGGTGCGTGTGAAAATGTCTTCGGCCACTTGACGCAGTAGAATGTCAACAAAGGAGCGTAAGGTTCGGCCTCTGTTGATCTCTTGGGAAGTCCTCTGGATGGTGTCAAGAGTGATCCTTTGCCAGGACTCCATCGTGGTCGCACTGGAAGATAACAACGTGTAAACTCAAGTTTTCTTGAGAGGATTCGCTTCATACAAAGTCTCTTCCTCAGGATTAACTTTCTGCACGCGCAGATTCAATTGGGAAGGCTTTATTTCCAGACACTTCTCATCGATACTCTGAGCTGAAGCCTTCAGGAAGATGTCCTTGTCCACTTGATACATTGCAGCGCGGATTTTGCGTATCTGTTCGTTTGTCTGAAAGAAAAAATAAAATATTGCCACAGTCTGTTTTTCATGTCCTGTGAGATTTTTACATCTAAATGGGCTTTCTGCAGAGCCTCCAGGGACTCCTCAGTGGTCCTCAATTCCTTCTCTAGCTCTCGCTCCACTTCATCTCGCACGACATCCGTTTGGAGTCTTTCTTGTCTCACGGCAATGCATTTACTGACAATTGGAAGATATTTCTCACGGAAGACGGCTAGAGCCCTGGAGATTCTCATGCGATACGTCTTCAGGGCCTCCTCCTCGGCACATGCTTCGGCCTTGTGTCTCTCCAGCTCATCCCTGAGGAACTTGATGTCAGTGATCCTCTCGCCGAGTCTGTGATTGCTCTCGCCATGGTTTTGATGGGTTTTCAAACGAATCTCATCCACCAGGCGGTCAGATTCACTGATCACACGATCAGCCAACTCCTGCTGCTGCTCTGAGATTATCCTCTTGCCGTGGTTGTTTGATTTCCACTCGCCATGAGTAAACTTTCTGAATGGGAACATCTTTCTGGGTGCGCGAAGAGTTTGATCGATGGCGGGAAAGGTGATAAAACCCCGCTAGTTGGCGCTGCTGATGGCGAGATGAGAGACTTTGACAGCCAGAAATTTTGCTAATTTGGCAGTGTTTGTTTTGGTTCTGGCATTTTATCGATTTTACCGGGGTTTTACTGGGAAAATCGAGGAAAACCCACCTATAATTTGTAATTTAGACATTCCTCGACATTTTTAACGTGAGTATATCCAGGGCGGCGTGTTATTTGACGGACAAAAGCGAATTTTATTCCGGCACTCTGGACGCCATTGTGCCCTTTTTGGGGGACTCCTTTTCATCACCAATTTTTCACGGAATATCGCGTGTTTTCTAATAGGTGTAGCGCCGAACCGCATTTGGGGATGTCGAAGAGAAGTTCAGACGACTCCGGCGGCGCCTCCGGGGCGCAGCCGCCCATCAAAAAGGTGCACTTTGAGCCCCACCTCATCGGCCCAATTTCCACCCTCGAGGAGATGGATATCAAGGTGCTGCAGTTTCAGAACAAGAAGCTCGCCCAGCGCATTGAGCAGCGGGTGCGGTGCGAAGCGGAGCTGCGGCAGCGAATTGAGCAGCTGGAGAAGAGGCAGACGCAAGATGACGCCGTCTTGAACGTGGTGAATCGCTACTGGAATCAGCTGAATGAGGACATCCGCGTCCTGCTGCAGCGCTTCGACGCCGAGACGGCCGATGAGTCGGAGAACAAGAACGAGAATGAAGTCACGACGTCCTTCCTCACGCAATTGTCGACTTGGGACAAGGAGGAGTTGGATGACAAGCTGGCGAATCGCGTGCAAGTGTCGAAGCGCGCCGTGGCGAAGATTGTTCAGGTGATTGATCGGCTGATGCAGCGCAATGAGAAGATCGCCGTGGCGCTAAAGGGCGGCTCGGGTGATGATGAGGAAGTGCCAACTCCTGACATCGATGAGACGCTGCGGGAGTCTCAGGTGGCGATCATGGAGGAGAATCGTCAGCTGCAGAACTTCAACACGTCTCTGCATGAGAAGTATCACACGATTTCGCTGAAGATGTCAGAGCTGCAAGACACGCTCACGGCGAAAGAGACGGAAGCTGCGGAGCTGCGCAATCAGATAGACGATTTGCAGTATGAACTGGAGAAAGTGAGGTGTCGTAACGATAAGTTGGAGAATCACTTGGCTGAGGCCATTGAGAAGCTCAAGACTTATCATCAGATGCACGGCGATGCGACAAAGACGGCAGTTGGTGAGTATTCTCCATAGAGATGTGTTTTGGAGGAAGATTAACCATTTGTTTCTTTGCTGAATTTGCAGTGAAGACCAATCCGACCACCAACGTGGCGACTCAGCATCTGGAGGACATGGCAAAGGAGTTGGAAGAGTGTCGCGAGCAGGCGAACAATCGCCTGCAAGAGCTCGATAAGCTGCATCAGACTCACAGAGAGACGCTGAAAGAAGTTGAGAAGCTGAAGATGGATATTCGCCAGCTGCCAGAGTCTGTAATTGTCGAGACGACAGAGTACAAATGTCTGCAATCGCAGTTCTCTGTGCTCTACAATGAATCCATGCAGATCAAGACGATGCTGGACGAGACGCGAAATCAACTGCACACCAGTAAGAATCAGCACTTGAGGCAGATTGAGATGATGGAGAGCGAAGAGTTGATGGCGCAGAAGAAGATGCGAAGTGAGATGATTCAGATGGAGGATGTCTTGGCGCAGATTCGGAAGGAGTATGAAATGCTGAGGATTGAATTTGAGCAGAATATGGCGGCGAACGAGCAAACGGCGCCGATAAACAGAGAGATGCGACACTTGATCACGTCGCTGCAGAATCACAACGGACAGCTGAAGGGAGAGGTGCACAGATACAAGCGGAAGTACAAGGACGCCGCGGCGGACAATGTGAAGCTGCGCAAGGAGGTGGAAGAGGTCACGGCGAAAGTGAATGGATCACAGAGTCGCAGCGTGCTGGCGGCTGAGGGTGATGTGAAGCAAGAGGGAGGAAGTCAAGTGAAAGAGGAGACTTCGTCTGACGGATCGGCCAGTGTGAAGGAAGAAGCAGCGACGGGAACAGTTAAGAGTAAGAAAAATTGCTCTTATTCAATTACATTTGCCATTTGTCACAATGGGTTTTTTTGGTGTTCCAGCGGAGTCAGATGAGAATGAAGAGGAGGCGGACAACAAGGATAGTATTAAGAAGGAGCCAGGAGTGTCGGGAAGTGTGAAGCAGGAGAAAACGGCGACTTCTGCACAGGCCAGTGAGAAGAAGGATTGTCCCAGCAGTGCGACGGTGACAGTGAAGACGGAGAAGGAGCAGAAGGATGCCCAGAGAGCGAAAGATATGAAAATTGCAGAATCTGAGATGATGAGGGATCTCAAGGCGCAGCTGAAGTGAGTTTATTGCAAGAATATGAACAGATTTCTGGAATATTCATGGTTTTCTCTTGCAGGAAAGCCCTGAATGACCAAAAGGAAATGAAGCTTCTGCTGGACATGTACAAGGGAGTGTCGAAGGAGCAACGAGACAAGGTTCAATTGATGGCCATTGAGAAGAAGAATCGCTCTGAGATTGAAGAATTGAAGTTGCAGTTGAAGAAGCTTCAGGTAAGACGATGATTCGAGGAGTGTTGTGCGAATATTTATGGTTTTCCGTGTGCCTTTTGCAGGAGAGTAAGAGAGAGGAGCGGAAGAAGTTGGCTGACGAGGACGCGCTGAGGAAGATTAAGCAGCTGGAGGAGCAAAAGTATGAGCTGCAGAAGCAAGTGGCGAATCAGAAGCCGAGCGACGGCTCGTGGCCAGGACACTACAGTCGAGGCTTCGTGGGATCGCATGTAAGTGGGCACGAAGAGATGAATGAGACGTCCTTCTGAAGATGTACTCTTTGCAGGAAGAGGAGGCGCTTCTGAACGAGATGGAGGTGACTGGGCAGGCCTTTGAGGACATGCAGGAGCAGAATTCGCGGCTGATTCAGCAGCTGCGCGAGAAGGATGACGCGAATTTCAAGCTGATGTCGGACCGCATAAAGGCCAATCAGATGCACAAGTTGCTGCGCGAGGAGAAGCAGATCCTGGAGGAGCAGGTGGCGACGCGCGACACGCAGATCGAGGCGATGCACATTGTGCTGCGGAAGCTGGAGGAGAAGGAGCGCATCCTGCAGAACACGGTGACGACGATTGAGAAGGAGCTGGTGCTGCGTCAGCAGGCGATGGAGATGCACAAGCGCAAGGCGATTGAGTCGGCACAGTCGGCGGCGGATCTGAAGCTGCATCTGGAGAAGTATCATGCGCAGATGAAGGAGGCGCAGCAGGTGGTGGCGGAGAAGACCAGCTCGCTGGAGGCGGAGGCGTACAAGACGAAGCGCCTGCAGGAGGAATTGGCGCAGTTCAAGCGCAAGGCGGAGCGCATGAAGAAGATCGAGATGACGGGCACGACCATTGATGAGGTGATGCTGGAGGAGATTCGGGAGTACAAGGAGACGCTCACGTGTCCGTCGTGCAAGGTGAAGCGCAAAGACGCCGTACTGTCCAAGTGCTTCCACGTCTTCTGCTACGACTGCCTGAGGACGCGCTACGAGACGCGGCAGCGCAAGTGTCCCAAGTGCAACTGTGCGTTCGGGGCGAACGACTATCATCGCCTGTATTTGTCCACTTAGGCGTGCGCCCAGAGATTTCCAGGATCTCGTATTTGCTGCATTGCTAGGTTTAACGTACATTCACATGAGAATGCTGCTTGGAAGAAGCATCCCTTTTGCATCCCCATTCATAAATGCTTGATCGCGGCAATTGAGAGAAATCTCCTTTTTATTTATTGACGCGGAGGAACATGAATTTCTTTTGTCAAAAATTGTAGAGCAAGTCTCAATATGAAATAAATCGTATTAGAATACATAAATGGGAATTTTGATGGAGTGACGAGAGATGGAGCATAAATTTCCCTTGCTTCGCACTCCCAATTCGTCTCTGTGCTTGATTGAATTCGCCAGTTGCATTTAATTGCCTTAGCACGAGTTGCGTCTCGCCCCGACTAGATGTCGCTGCGCGCGTATGCCAAACAATCTGCATCGCGTGAACGCGCCGCGTTCCAGTTGCGAGAGAGACTCTTCAGTTGACTTCCAACCGCTCTGGATAAAAGTGTTGTGCTCTGTGACGCGAATGGGGACCAGCAGACACTCTGGCCAGAGCTTCACCTTGACTGTCGCCCGACCGCACCATCTGACCGGGTCAGGCTGAGCCGGGATGAGGCAGTCGCTGGGGCGCATCTGGTGATACTTTGCCCCGTGCAAGAAGACGCCCTCGGAGGCTCAGACACTTCATCGTATGCTTTATCGATTGCGCGGCTTCTCAAGGGTGACTGTTGCTCAGAGAGCTGGCGAAGAGAGAGAAGAGAAAGATTCTGTGCTGAATTGTGTCGAATTAGCAAGAACGAGAGTTGAGTGGAGAAAATTAACACTTAGTGGTCAAATTATCGCCAATCCAACTGATATATTTTCATGTACTTTGACGAGAGTGGAGTGAATAAAATAAAAAAAATACAGTGAACACTTTTTGCTTGGCGGAGTAAAAATCGCAGTGTGTTCAGTGAGGCGCAAAAGAGAATTTTCATTTACTTCACGGTTTTGTTGTGTTGAAACTATTATTATTAATTAAGAGTTAAAAATTTTGAGCGCTCCGTACATAAGCCAAACACGTAAAACTGTATTATTTTTTTTTTTTGAGAGTGTGAACAAAGTGACGAAAGGAAGAGAAACTGCGAGGAAAATTCCACCACTCTCTCTCGAGAGGGCTGCTGAAGAAGGTATATATATTTTCATTTCGCCACTTTCTGTCCCTCATTCATTCTCTCGTCGCACAGCTGACACTTTTTGCGCGATCGCGCTCTTCGTCTCTTGTCGACTCTTCCTGAAGCATGCACAATGGCGCAATTCAGAGCTTCTGAGGAATTGATTCCGTCCCTTTCACTGCGCTTATCGCACTCTTACATGACCGATAAGGGCGGAGTTTGTGGGCTTTGCAATCAACTTCGATCCCATTTCGATGGAGTTGAATTACCTCTTGTGCCTCTCTTGCAGTGCACCGATTTCGAGCAATGATTCCCCGCTCCGTCCAGAAACATGGAAAACTTGTGATATCGCAGTTCTTTGCTCTAAATTTCTCTTATCACGCCCAAAGACTATCAATTCTTAACAAAGGAGTTAATATTATATTGCCTATCTTTCTGTAAATCTTGTCTAATCAGACAGCGACACACTTTTACCCTCGCTTCTGCCTATTTTCAGAAATCAATTGGATCAAATGAGAATTTCGTACAATTCTAGGTTTTAATTTAAGAGGATATTAATATAAAAGATGAAGAAATATGTTGAAATTTAAAGATTTAACAATTTTCCATTATTTCTTCTGTTTCTGTAATCAAAACTAGAGATAAAACAATATTAGGAAAAAAATACTCTTGATTATTTTAGGCCGAAATGATTTTTTTTTAAAAATTGAAAAAGGAAAATCTTGAGAATGTAAGAATCAATTCTTGCTTCTAATTAAATTACCCGGATTGCTTAATGAAAAACTCCGGAAAATAAGTAAAAAGGAAATGACTGCAAGTCTATAAATTCCTCAAACAATTATGTGAAATTTCGCGATAGTCGCGGTATCAGAAAACCTACATTTTATCAAGTCTTTGTGAGAAAGCAGCCAGAAGCGAGCTAGAGATCATGAAGTTCAGTCCATGCGATGATGCATTGCTCACTCTCGCTTTCGGCGAAGGAGTTTTAGCTATAAATATGTGAGGAAATCTCTTTGATAGCGAGTCTAGCGCTGTCATTTGATAATCTCGAGTGTGTTATGAATGAATTTGGGCGTCTCGAGCGCAGCCGGGAAGGAGTTTAGCTGGCGAATGATACAGAGCGACCAGCTGCACTTTGCTGCATTCACATAATTACGCCGTTTGCGAGGGGAGACGCCAATTCGGGGCGAATGCATGTTCCATTGAGTATTAAAAGACATTGTGCGGAGGGAAAGAACTCTGACCAAATAAACACTGCGCGACTTGGCTGTGCATGGGAAGGAGCATTTGGGCGGAAGAATGGGAGAGAAACTCAAATTGGAGAGTTATGAGAAATTACTTGTAACCATTTTCTTGCTGCCCGCGCGTCTCGTTGTGCGGCAAATGCAAGTTGAGTCGCGATGGAAGTAAAAATCCTTGCCACAGTGTTGAAAAACTGGAAGAGCTCGCGCTCCCGCCAATTGGAAACTTGTTTGCCGTTTCGAACGAGTCGTGTATTAAATTAAGAGATTTATTGTTGGATGCTGCGAGCGCCCACAAATACACACTTTCTGCATCGCAGTGTCGATGGTGGAAACCCTATTCCTGGCACGTCTGACCAAGAATGCCGCCCGTCAGCGCGGTTCTTGGGCTCGCGGCGCGCGGAGGAGTCGCTCGAAGGTGCTTGACATTTTCACCGTTGCAGCGCAGTGACTTTCCTCCTTCCCTTGCTCGATTTTCTGAGAAGAGAATATAAGCAAAATCACTTGAGCCGCGAGCAATGCTCAAAGTTTGTTTACACTTAGAATGCAGTCGACCGTGGCGAAGGAAGAAGGCTGACTTGGCAGTCATGAATGCTGTGGGTCAGGTCGGAAAAGTATCTCGGGAAATCGATAAGTTCACTCTGAATTCCCACCATAATTTTCACCATTGAAAAACACTGGAAAAACATTGGAAACTAGAACTCGAAGGCGTCGCTCTGTCGAATTGCTGTGGCAATTTATTTTACTTTTTCGGTTCGTGTGCAAAAGGACAACTTGAGTGAAGAGGAAAATAACTCCAAAATACTTTGCAATATTAAATTACTTCCGCATTTTCGAATCAAAAAAAAGTTATCAGAATTGCAAAATGATTCAACGCTGAACGTGTAAAATTGCACATTGAATTCAATGGGGAAGTTAATGAAATTTGCAGAGAAGTGCTAAAAATCCACTTTTGCATATTTGATTTATACACAAATATTGATTCTTCTAATGTCCTTGTAATTATCAAATTGAGGTTGTGCTCGAAAAGTGGTCTTCAAACACAAAAGCGCACGGAAAAAAAGACACTTGAGAGAGAGAGAAAAATAAATTGACTTTTTCTTTTAACAAGGTTTTTAACCCCAAAGAGACAAGATTGGTGTGCTCTCGAAAAAAAAAATGTTACGCACAGTGAGAAATTATACAACAAATCGTGGAAAATGGTAAAATATCCCCTCACTGAATGAATTTTAATTGTGGCATTTTTAAATTTTATGATATTTCATTTGTGTGCGAATCGCAAGAAAACGGTGAAGTGTTAGGGAGCAAAAAGATCACAAATGACTGAAAGCAATCTTTGAAGAAACGCGAGAACTGGCAAAGTTTTTAATTAAGGTATTGAAACAAAGCTGAAAATGTAACTTTTTTGCAACTCTCATCGCCATTCTCTTACTTCATTGCTGAATTTGTTATTTATCACCTGACAATGTGTCCTAAAAGCTTCAACAGCTCAGAGTGTGAAGATGATGTTTTGGATTTGGACACTCGTCAACACGGTCAAGAGAAGTTTTAAAATGCACGATTTTTTTTTTAAGTGAAATAATTCAAATGATATCAATTTTCGCAACGGTCCAATTAATCAGTCGATCTGAATACAAAATTCGCTATTTTTGCGGTCACACAATCCTTCTGCAAACTTAATTAAAAAAACACTTTAAGAAATCTGCAAGAAGAATAATTTTTTGGAATGTCTTGTTCAACCAAATCAAGCATTAATTTATCAGTTAATATTGAGTTTGGGGTGAATTTTTAAATTGGACACGATCTACAGTCACGAGAACGTTTCTATTCGCATCGTCTATTGATTATCGTGAGCATTTCGTCATGCATTAATTAGTAAGTTTGATCTCTTATTGACCTGCTTGAGACAAAATTGGTCTGAATGAAGAACTGCTCCGAAGTGGACTTCAAAGTATATGGCATTATCTTGAGCCTCGGCGATACTCTAAGTGAAATTCTCAATTAATTGGCGATTAATCATGCAAAATGCTCTCAGTGATTTACCCTGACCGTGCATTTCTGAGCATGCATTCGAAATGGGTCGACGAGAATGCCATCAAAAGAAGTGAATTGTATCACTTCTTTACCTCAATTCTTTTCGCATCGCGCGATTCAACACCTGCCGCTGATGAAGCAAAAATGCCGAGTGTAAAATATGAATTTAAGATGTAATGCAATAAAAGGCTGCAGAGAGAAGCAAAAAATGGGGGAGAGAAATATAACGGCGTGAGCTCTCGTTAGAGATTCCATTATTTATTAGAGTCTTACATCATGGAATTTAAAATGGAAAACACCCCATGAGAAGATGTTTTGCAAATTTCACATCAAATTCATTTTATAACACCTTCGAGAAGCGCGATATTGAGTGACTCTGGCCGTCGAAATTTCATGCAACATGCGAAAATGCAGCGCTGACAGCATTGGACTTTCTATGACCTTCGCCGGAGTGTTTGACCATTTAAAGGAATCTTGCGCACTGGGTGAGTCACAAAGGGAGTGGACCCTTCGTTGCATCCGTTGCATAACCTCGCGGTTTCGGTCGCTATTTAGCATAATTGTCGCGCGACATTTCTCTCAGGTTTTTTTTTATTCCTGCAGCGCGTCTAGTAAATCGTCTCGTCTGATTCTTATTGCATAAGGCCACTTTTTATTACCATCTCGCTGTGTTATTTATTTTTTGCATTGCCCCAAGTGATGCATGTTGATTGCATTTCCATGTGAAATGCGTGCGAGAGAACTCGCCTTGGCTGATCGTGTTTTGTGCAGAAAGTGAGTTCGAGGGCTTCACTTGTGTGTGTGTGTGTGTTTGTTGCATTTTGAATCGTGAAATGTCGCACACGC